ATTATTCAAATTGCAGGTTGTTGCGAGGGATTTTTGAACAATTGAGTTCAGTGAATTGAGCTGGGTTCGATGGAACCTATTTGCTGGATTACATCGAACCCAAATTTGCCGGATTCCGTCGAACTTCATAACCGATTGGCAAAGAAGCAATTGTTAGTGGTGATGTGGGACCCATTTGGTGTGTTTTCGCCAGGTAGTATGTGACATGGCAAAAGTTTTATCCATGTCATTACTTTTTTAAGTTTTACTCTCCACATCATAAAAAAAAATATAAAAAATGCCACATAAGCAGGGTTAGCGGCCCAAATTAACAGAAGGATTAACAGAGTGCATTTCGTATAGTTGAGGGATCAAAAAAATGCAAAAAATTGTTGAGGGATCAAAAATGTTCATTTTTTAAAGTTGAGGGACCAAATTAAGCATTTAACCAAGATTTTACTAAAAAGGCACCTCTAAATTGGACCGAGTGGTTCGAGTGGTTTTTGTTACTTTATTGAGATGCAGTTCCTCTCTCTTCTTAGGTTGAAGTCTCATAATACCTTGTTAAAAAAAAGAAAAGATTTTACTAAAGAGAAAGAACCATCTCCAACTCTATTCCAGTCTATTATATACCACGCAAATTGACCAACCCCAACAACAGCAAATTCCGTATCTCACAGGCAAAAAAATATTCCAAAGACGAACACAATAATAATCTCAGCATAACTTGCAATTGCGAGCTACAATTATCAGAGAATAATCACATCCTCGACAAATTCTGACTGTCGTGCTGAAGATCATGTGAGAAATGCAATAAGAAACAATCAAAACCAATACCTACAACAGGCAAATGAATGATTCTCAGGGACCAATAACAAAATATATAATTGAAGATATATTTATTAACATCAAACCAGACCTATTGGCCATTGCAGATAATTCGACTTCAAACACTGTGAAACATTGGAAACCATAGAACATAGTGATAAAGTAAAGTCATTTTAACAGTACCAAACAGACAACCAAACCATAGAACTTAGAAACATAGCTAAGGACTCAAACAACACTCATTCAGAAATGACCACCACGGAGTCGAAGCACAAGGTGGAGGGTAGACTCCTTCTGGATGTTATAATCTGCAAGAGTCCTCCCATCCTCCAACTGCTTCCCTGCAAATATCAGCCTCTGCTGATCTGGAGGAATACCCTCCTTGTCTTGAATCTTCGCCTTCACATTGTCAATGGTATCAGAACTCTCGACTTCCAGTGTAATTGTCTTGCCAGTCAGGGTCTTGACGAAGATCTGCATACCACCACGGAGCCTAAGCACCAGATGAAGGGTTGATTCCTTCTGGATGTTGTAATCAGCAAGGGTCCTGCCATCCTCAAGCTGCTTCCCAGCAAAGATTAGACGCTGCTGGTCTGGTGGGATCCCTTCCTTGTCCTGGATTTTTGCTTTAACATTGTCAATTGTGTCTGAGCTCTCAACCTCAAGGGTGATGGTTTTTCCAGTCAGGGTCTTAACAAAAATCTGCATGCCTCCACGGAGACGGAGCACAAGGTGTAGAGTGGATTCCTTCTGGATGTTGTAATCAGCCAGGGTGCGTCCATCCTCAAGCTGCTTGCCAGCAAAGATGAGCCTTTGTTGGTCTGGTGGGATCCCTTCCTTGTCCTGGATCTTAGCCTTGACATTGTCGATGGTGTCAGAGCTCTCTACTTCAAGAGTGATGGTCTTGCCAGTAAGGGTTTTTACAAAGATCTGCATGCCACCACGCAGACGGAGGACCAGGTGGAGGGTAGACTCCTTCTGGATGTTGTAGTCTGCAAGGGTACGGCCATCTTCAAGCTGCTTTCCAGCGAAGATCAAACGCTGCTGATCAGGAGGAATGCCTTCCTTGTCTTGGATCTTGGCCTTAACATTATCAATGGTGTCAGAACTCTCAACCTCAAGAGTAATGGTCTTGCCAGTCAGGGTTTTGACAAAGATCTGCATGCCACCACGCAGACGGAGGACCAGGTGGAGGGTAGACTCCTTCTGGATGTTGTAGTCTGCGAGGGTGCGTCCATCTTCAAGCTGCTTTCCAGCAAAGATCAGACGCTGCTGATCAGGAGGGATACCTTCCTTATCTTGGATCTTGGCCTTCACATTGTCAATGGTGTCAGAACTCTCGACCTCGAGAGTGATGGTTTTACCAGTCAGGGTTTTCACAAAGATCTGCATCTGAATTCATCAAGAAAAACAAGTCACTAACAATAGAAATAGATGATTAATTCCATGCTAATAACAACCCTTCTATTCAGAGAAACAAATTACAAAAGAGAAAAAAACAGATATATACTTAACTACTAAAGTAATTAACCTAATCCTAGCAAAAAAAAATCAAGAAAAACTTGTCTTTGTCTAAACTCATCCAAACAAATATCGCAAAAGGAGTCTGAATTTCATCTAACATGAATGACGATTCAAGGCACTAACAATAGAAATCTAGAATTAATTCCAAGGGCTCAAACATATATTCGATCAAGAACAAAAGATAAAACAACCAATTCAAAACTTTATTAGATATTTAAGGTTATTGGGTAACCCTAATAAGAAATTAAGAAAAGATGATTAACCCCAACCAGACTTAAAGCAAATACCAAACAAGCCATCTGGATCTCGGCCAGAATCATATGAGACAAAACAACAGAAATTGAGGATTGAATCAAAACGTAATAATATAATACATACTCGAGCAAAACAATCATCAATCAACCAAAAAAAAAAAAAAAAGAACCCGAAGTCTAAGCCGATAAACATAACCCTAACGCGAAATCAAGAACAGATCATCAAAGTCTAACAGATTCACATGAACATAAACGAAGATCGAGAACCGGAATCGAATTCTGCAGAGGATCTTACCTTGGAAGGAGAAGAGTGGGAGCTTCAACGAGAAGGAGAAGAAGAAACAGGTCGATGAGGATACCTGATACCGTGGGCCTGTATTTTATAGATGCAATAGCCGACTTATTCGCCGAAAAATAATTGTAATTTGCGATTATAATTATAGTCACGAAAAAAATGCCCCAAGGGCCGCGCCACCGTCCAAAATTGGGAAATGCTGTTTGTATCAATTTTTTTTATTATCTTTTTATATAATTTTATGTGTTTTTTTAATATTCTTTTTTTTTATTTTTTATGGGAGTTTTATTATTTTATATATTTTTATATTTTTTTTTGTATATATTTTTGTGTGTAAATTTTATATAAAAGAATAAAAAAATTGTCATATAACACCCCCTTCAAAATTATCTTGTGAACCAAAACGCGGATCCCACGCGGAATTAATTTTGCCTTTTGATATCAAAAACCGTTTTTTTGAACAGGTCCAATGGTTGAAATTTTGGTAATTATATTATGGTATTTGGTACAACTAATATTTGATTTATGAGGCTTGAGGCTTGGTGCCAAAGAAAAAAAAATTTTGTTTTACATTATCACCTCCACTAACTATAAAACAATCACTATATTAGCAACCTCAAATAATTTGAAGGAATAATTTGATCTTATATTTTTTTTAGGAATGGAGATGTCTTTGCCAATCTATTTAAGTGGTGGATTTAAGAGTTTTAACTATTAGATAAGTGAATGTATGCAATATTACAGTAAAATTTAAGTGAAAATTTTCAATTATATAATAATACATAATAATTATAAATTTATAATATCATATATTATTATAACTATATTATTTTTTAAGTAAAACTATTTATCTATTAAATTAAAGTGTTTTAAGATTTCGGGCGAGAAACTTCGTTTTAACGCCTATTTAGACACCATGTGTGTGGCCTCCAAAAATTATATTTTGATAATTTGAAGATTAAAACAAAAAGAAGAATAAAGGAAATATTATTTAATTGGTCAATGTGAGAAGAAAGCTAAGATTTGAGGTTGATTATATGTTGTAACTTGTAATTGTAAATATAGCTTTCTTGTGTGATGTAGTTTTCAGGTAGTGCATCATAGTCACTCACTCCGAAATTTCATTAAAGTCCGTAGATCAATTTGGAAGAAAATAATCCTTTTGGATCAAAATAACAAGAAGTCAATGGTTGCTATATTTAACATAAAATTCAGCCAGAAGTTTATATATAGAAAGATAAAAATACCCTTGAACGAATTCTTATGGCCTCAAGCTCTTAGAACGAATCAATTATTGCTTAACTGTTACACTTCTTTCTTGATTAAGGTGCTTGTTTGAGATTGATACAAATTTAGTTTTAGAGAAAAAAAAAGAACACAGTGTTGTTTTATTTGATCCGAGAAGCTACTGTTAGAATAAATGGTTGCTACCCACATGAGGCTTTTTTTTTTTTTTTTTTTATTGAATTTAAGTTTAAATCCTTTCCTTTCTTAAATACCTCAACATGTAATCTTGTTTTTTCTTTTTTCTTTAAAAAAAAAAAAAAACTTGAATTTAAATTAACGTACTCACTGATTTGAACTCATGAACAAACTTAAATTTACTCATATATTCATGAATATGAGTATAAACTTAACTATTTTAAACTCCATTCAAATTTAAATTTTTAAAATGAGTTCAGATATAAATACTTAAATATTTAACTCGACTTATTAACCGCCATAATCTCAACTATTCATAAAGATAAATAAATATCTATCTCTACCTTTTGAGTATTTGGATACAGGACTTGTTCCTTGGATTTTATTATCATGTGTGCTTTCTTTTTTTTCTTTCTTTTTGAACAATTACAGCAGTTGGGTTGGGGTCTCTTTGGACCCTGGTTATATTGAGTTATGGTTAAGACGCAATACTAATGGGCCATATAAGGCTAGTCCATTAGATTTTTGGAGGGGGGGTGGACTTCTAGTATAAATTCCAACTAATATCCGCCGAAAAATTTTCATGCCTAAAGATAAGCCAACATCAAAATAAAGTAATGATGTGAATTGGACTTTCCTAGCTGAGAAATAAATATTGGGCTTCCGTCCAAAAATAAATATTGGGCTTGTATCCAAACCCATGTACCCCCCAAGACTGACAATATTATCAATTTTTTCAGCAGCTACAAGGCCCACGGCAACGACAGCGCAACAACAGGGACTCGTTCTGTCACGCCGATGTGACATTGACGTGTCAATCGCATTCATATGATGTTGGTTAATTCAGTTGGCTCTGGGCCTGGGTCCTGGGGACCACACCGCACGGGGGTTGACAGCTCGCCACCTCACCACCCCGAATCTCTGTCGTTTTGGGTGGTGACTTTTTTAAGGGGGTAAAAGTAAATTTAAAAGTAAAACGTAAGGACTTTCTGACAAGGACTGACACCAGAACATTTATTTGATGCATTAATTTTTTTGCCTAAGAAGCCTCGCCCAAGTGACCATTTAACCAAGTGATCATTTAACAAAGGGTATCTTATTTTGGGTATGAAATTTAATTTAATTTTTTTTTTGTATTTTTTTACTGTAATTGTAACTGTTGCTGTTAAAAAGAGCAGTCAATGGATTATACTATTATCTAAATTCAATAACTCTTATTAATAATTTTAACTTTACTAACTTTTAATTGTTGTCCTTGTAAAAAAAAATAATTTTTTTACCTTATTTATTGGTATAAAAAATTTATTTTATAATTTAGATGATAAAAAATAATTTTTTGAAAAAATAAAATTTTTAATATTAAAAATTTTTTGTTAAAAAATTTATATTTTATAATTTAACGCATTTCAAATAATAAAATAACAAAATTTATTTGTATTTTAAAAATTTACAGTCATGAATAAAACTTGTTTTTATCTTAAAAAACCTTTCTTTTTATCAATAATTAAAAAATATGTAAAATATTTAAAACAATAATAAAAAAATAATTGAGAAGTTACCATTAAAACAGTAATTTAGAAGTTGAATGGTAGTACTCTAATTCTTTACTAATATTGAAACAACTTTTTAAAAAGGTCAGACGTCTTTTATAAAGCTGTGTTTGATCCAATTACTTCGTGTTTTAAGTAAAGAAGCTCTCTTTTTAAATGTTAGACTAAATAGGCACGTGTTTCACTTGTCAATAACTTCTACCGTAAGGTTTGATTAAAATAGTAGAAGGTAAATTGTACGTGGAAATATGTTTTCTTAATTCCATTTTCAAAGCATCGAGCATAGAATATCAATTCAGTTTTATGCAAGTTTGGCATGGAAGAAAAATTTAAGATGAAAAGTCGTAGATCACCTCCCCTTATTAAAATAAAGAAGCAAACAAAGTTCCCCGAAGCTTCAAATCAGCAACAGCAGCAGCTGCAACAGGGGGTGTTTCTGACATGGAAAAGCCCGATCTCTGCATGCTTAACTCCACAAATGGACATTGATCAATTAAACCTGGTGGTCCTGTCTCTATACCAACAGCATGCACGTTGAAAACAGCAACCAAAACCGCAGGATCCCCACTCACCCTCAAATTTATTTATTTATTTTTTAAAAAGACGTCCTTCTCAAATTAAATGCCAATTTTAATTTATCAGCAAGGACGTCTTTGTTCTAGGCCTTTAATTTTTTTGGAAAAGGTACTCAGGGAAGCTGAGCAATTTTATGGCTTTAGTTAAGACTGAAAAATAATATTTCGAGGTCAAAGAGACACAGCTGATTATAATGACTTTTAGGTGTTTACAAACCTTCAAAACAGTTTCTTAAAAAAGCTTTTAAAAGAAAAGCTTTTGGGTTTAATAGGCGCTTATCTTGAAATTTTATTTTCCTATAAATGTTCAGCTAATTAAGTATTAAAAGCTAGGTTTCTTCAAATTCTTTTTAAGAGAAAAGTCCAAACCAAACACCACTAGAAGAAAAGGCAAAGATCATTGAATGTTGATGAC